CTAAGATGCTTTGCATACGAACACTTGCTTAGCGAAGAAAATGCATGGATTAAGAAATGTTGCTGCAGTCTTGGATACTAATTTTAACCAGTGATGTAAACCTTAAACTATTTGTCTCAAGAAACATAAGAATTGTCATTTTAGCCCTTATTTACCAAAACAACGGAATAATGGAACACTGTGACTGAAACAGGAACTCCATCCTTTTTTGCATAATGTGTCCACTTTAAAAAGCTAAAATAGTCAGCAAAAAAGAATGAAAAGCAGACTCAATCAACAGCTGTAAAGCAAACTCAATAAGCAGCCTAGAGCAACTTACTCAAAAGTGGGGCCGTTGTATCTACTAAGAAGCACAGGCAGGGCTGCAGCCTCCGAGGATTCCATCTTCGACCTCATCGAAACTGAGTGAATTCCTAAAGCATCTGGATACAACCCACAAAGGAAATGAAGAGAATCTTGCTGCCCTGGTTTTGAAATTTCAACATGAACGAACAACTGATTCATGCCATCATCCTCCTCATCATCATCTTCACCACCTCCAGGAATTATGTTAGCCAAGCGCATCACAGAAATACCGATTTCTTCTTCACCGTAGGACCGTTTTAGAATGGCACCGCCACTGTCAATTGATCCTTTCACCACCGTGAATGGAGAAGGGGGGCTAACTTTCTGCCAAGCATGGAATTCCTTTAGATGAAGGCCAAAAGAAATAGAGACATTCCAACCGTACATCTAGAGGCATGACAATGTCAATTATGGCTCCTTACTCTATTAAATCAACCTAGTATTACCAACTGTCAGAAACGCCCCAATACCTAACTCCTAGGTAGATATGTAGTTGAAATGCATTCAAAGGCTAGTATTATCAACCAGGTTCCTCAAAAAGACAGTAACACAAAGGTTTTTTTTTCCCCTTTTTGGGTGAAACAGGTAGTTATTGTTTGCCGTACACTGACAGCTATCCACACAACTTTGCAGCTATATCAGCTGTAAAAATAATCCTACCCACAAATTCATTCAGAAAGTTCGAAAACACCCTAGTGCATTCAAAGTTTATGTAGAGTCTCACTAAATGAAATTTTGCATAACTTAAAATGCTGAAAGGAGCCACTTTTCTTTTAGGCACTAAATTTAACTGGACTCCTTCTGCTTGTACCGCACAGCACACAACAGAAGCTAGCTGCCTTCCAATGCCCTCATATTCCTTAACTGTCCCTTCTTTCCTTAACTGTCTCTTCTTTCAAACCATGATATACGAATGCATAAAAGTTACAAATAACAGAATAATTAGTAAAATGCCTATACTCCAAATGATGCTTCATTTTACAAAAATGTAGGCACACAAACCAATTCCAAACAGTAAAAGGATCCAAAATTTCATCATAGACCAGAATAACCATTCCTTTCATAATTAATTCACTTATAGATTTAGGGAGAGAGTAATTCCAACACTGTAATCACCACCACTACCACCCCAGAAAAAGAAGAAGAAAAAAAAAAGAGAAAAAGGTGAACATCCTAAAACCACGGACTAAAGAAACCCTAAAGAAGAAAATAAAACTATAATTAATTTAACAAGTTAAACAATCCAAGAATCTACTTTCTATCAAATTCAAAAAGATAGAAAGAGAGAGAAGTAGTATGGAGGTGATTACTGGAGGAGGGGTCATTTTGGAGACTTCAAGGTAATGATCTTTGAGGGAACGGAGAAGGATGGAGTTGACGGCGACGGATGAGGAGGTGGCTTTCGAACTCGACGACAGCCGGGCAGCTATCGTCCGCCACCATGGCTGTTTTAGCAGAACCCCTCCGGCATAAGATACCAGAGCTTTTCGCCACATTTCCTTTGAACTTGTTTGGTTTCCTTCAAACCCTGTGTTTTTACTTCCCGTATGATAAACCCTGCTCTCGAATTTTGGAGGGTTTTGGAGTTTGGATTTGTCTTTGTGCGCCGTGAGGCCGAGAGCTTTTATCTCGGGGAACAATCTTATAATTTCCACCCCTTAAGTTACTGGAAATTGAAACTAGGTACGGACTGAATAAGGAATATGCAATACACGGCTTAGTATTTTTTTTAAAATCCTGTTTAATCTTTCTTAGTTTAATCTACTTAAAATTGGTAACTACACTTTCAGATTTTCTCATATCACTAACACATATATTTAAAAAGAATTTTGAACAAAAAAATAATAATGATGCATTGTTCATTCTTTAACTGACAATCTTACGATAACTAGAATTCATTTTTTATACTAATAATCTTACAATAACAGAATTTATATTATTACAAAATAGAAAATTTATCCAAGGGTCCAACTACTTTTAAAAACTTATCCATCCTCTGCTTTGAACAAATTTTAATAGGCAAACTTGGTATTTTAATTTAAACCTACATGTGTTTTATTACAAATAATTCTTATTCAAGGATAAGAGTAGAAACATCCATTAGTTTGTATCTTTATATACTATATAAGAATAACTTGTGGTCAAAGTAGGGTTTGAATTTCAACTACATGGATAGGAATTTTTTTGGAAATATTTAGAATATTATGTAGTTTTTTAAAAACTTTCGATACAACTGAGAGTAGCATGTGTTTAGATATATTTATCGAAACTCCCTCATTTTGATGCATTTAAAACTTTGATTTATGCAGACATCTGAGTATTTTGGAATATGGAATTATTTTGCAATTATTTTTGCATTGAATACAACTCATATAAACATATGTGTTGGTGTAATTATTGAAATGGTGTTATAGGCACATTTAATTGAAGTATGATTTTTGTTGTGCAATTAACATGTTACTATAACTAGCTGTTGGAGGGCATTCGGTATTCCTTTGTCTGAAACAACTTATGTCTCCTTTTGGACGATTTTCAACTGACATTTGTAGGAGTTTTTTGGGAATGGTAAAATTGTAAAAGTATTGATAAAATAAAGTATACAAGTGTGTACTGCAATTAGAATGTACTATTATTAGTTTTGTCATATTTGATGACTATTTCTTTTCAGAATATACTATTATTTGTCCAATAAAAAATTCTTTTTAACCACAGGCACCAAACACTCGTGCGATTCGCGAGCACTCTCCCCTGGTAGTAGGAATATCTATTAGCTCGGAACATGTTTTTTCAATAAAAATGAAGTCGAATATGCATTAAGAGAATCACCTACGTCATGCCAATTTTATAACACGGATATAGGGTCGAGCCTAGGGGTGGAGTTGAGCCGAGTCGAGCTCGAGTAGTACCATACTCGAGCTCGAGCTCGAAGGTTATGAGTACTGCTCGAACAAGTCTCAAACTTCGGACTCGAACTCGACTCGATATAATTAAAGAGAACTCGAGCTCGAACTCGTATAAGATTCGAGCTCGAGTACTCGAACTAAGCTCGTAAAATGAGCTCGAAAACATTTGTTTTCTAAACCAGAATTCAGCAAAAATTGAGCGCAAAAAACTGTGCTATCCTTCAATATAGCAATTCATATTAAAACATGCATTTTGCTTCATTTCAACGCAAATGCCAACCATGTGATTCAAGCACTCTAAAAGCAACATTATCAAACTAGTTAATATGATAGAAAAAATGATAGTTTCTCAATAGCCAAAATAGCCATGTAAGCAAAAGAAATAGAGAACTTGATATTAATAGCATTTAGTCACAATACACTGAACTCTGTATCATTTGAGATCAAGTTCTCTATACAACATTCTATTAAGATCCATTGCCAAGATTCTATACAGCAACTCATGTACAGATTTTAGTCAAAAATCAAAATACAACCTGGTAGTATCTATACAACATTCACTTGAGTCAAAGAAATCACCAGATTCACTATAGCTATGCAGATTTGAGTCCAAAGTCAAAAGTCAAAACACAACTTGGCAGCCACAGCTTGTCAACAGTCAAAAAAATCTCCAGATTCACCAAAGTTGTACAGATTTGAGTCAAAAAAGTCAAAACACAACTGGCAACCACAGCTTGTCAAGTGTCAACATTCGCTTGAGTAAAAAAGTCACCAAATTCACTATAGCTGTACAGATTTGAGACAAGTCATTTGAGATGTTAACTGCATAGAGTTCAGATTCCAAAATTCCAAGTTTCTAACACCTATTGCCAACCAAAAAAATATAAGTCCTGTCAAATATCACCAAAGACAAAAAAATGAATCAAATTAAGGTACAAAATTATCGAGAACTCTAGATAACGCACAATGCCAGACCTGATTCAAAATGAGCCCTTTGCAATAGACCTTCAAATCTTGGGCAATTCAATTTCTTTGATATTTTAGCTTCCTGCATTTACAATAAAAACCACCCAAGGCAAATAATTTAGAAAGAAAAAAAGTCATAACTTGTTGAACTTGGCCACAAAAGTTGAATGATAAAACAATAAAACTTACTTTCACTTTCTTTGAGATCCCGTGAAGCTTTCTACACCAGTCCCCTGCACACAACAACACTTGAACCGTATCTGGATGAAGGGAAGCACGATAGCTATCAATAACTCGAGTTCCGGCACTAAATGTGGCCTCAGATGCCACTGTAGTTACAGGAATAGCCAAGATGTCAGCCGCCATTTCGGACAATATTGGATACGCAACCCTATTGCTTTTCCACCACTCCAAACAATCATAGGCATTTGGGTTGGAACCAGTCTTTAGGCGAGCCTTTTCTAAATAATCCACCAATTCAGATTTTTGTGGCTCAGTAGTCTCCATTTCGTCACAGTACTCATCAAAGTCAACCCACCTAGAAGAAGATGTTGCATTTTTTTGTGGCCCTTCTGAAGCACATGAGTGGACTGCATTTTCATTTCCAGTTGCATTCAAATCTGCATACTCATCATAAAGCTCAAATAAAGCTTTCTTCACGCTGAAAATATGTTCTTGTGCCTCAAAAGATGGAAACATTTGAGGGAAGGCAAACTCAACAACTCTCATTTTCTGCCTTGGATCTAAAATGGCAGCAATAGCCATTAACAAATTGCATTCGCCCCATTATTTGTCGAACTTGGCCTTCATCTTTCTAATCATAGCTCGGATGAAGTCATTTTCATCATTTTCTCGAGAATCTAAGAGTTTCTTAATTTTCACAGCCTCTTGAAGGAATAAATTGCTCGTAGGATATTCACTCCCGGATATCACATGCGTGGCTGCCCAAAATTTCTCTAACACAGAGCACACTTTTTCTGCTTTTTCCCAATCCTCATAAGCTGGACAGGAATCATAGAGTGGATCTCTATCTTGAAAACGAGGAAAAACATCTTTGAACTTCATAGCACAGCTTAGCATTTCGAAGGTGGCATTCCATCTTGTTCGACAATCATAAAGCAACTTTTCCCGGGTATTTGAAGTTGTTGTGCAATCTCAGCGAACAACAATAATCTGGTCTCTGAGCGATTGACAAAATCGACGCTGTCCCTAATTTTGTTTACAATGTCCGCAATCTCAGAAAGCCGACTTGAACTAAGGTTCAAGATGTGCGCACAGCATCGAACATGAAACAACTTGCCGCCACCTAATAGTTTCTTCGATCTACTAAAATCATCCCGCAAAACTCTAATAGCCACATCATTGGCCGAAGCATTATCAACTGAAATTGTGTGTATTTTTTGCTCAATACCCCAATCCTTCACACACTTGAAGAGTGAAGCAGCAATCTCAACCCCTCGTCTAGGAGGTGGTATGTGAACAAAGTTGAGCACTCTCTTTTGTAGCTTCCAATCTGAGTCAATCCAATGGCCAATAATAACCATATATTCGATCTTTTGATTTTTAGATTTCCAAAGATCGGTTGTGAGGCTTACCTTTTTCACATTTCTTAACTTTTTCTTCAGCTTCTTTTTCTCAAGTTCATAGACTGCCACACAATCATTTTTTGCTACTCCTCTAATGATCTTTTGCCACTCGGGCATGCCACGCTTTAGGAAAATATTCAAACCTTCTTCTTCAAGAATGGTGAAGGGATGTTCGTGCATCACAATCCAATGTGCAGCGGCTTCTCTCATTTTCTCCATGTCAAATTTTCCGGTATGCAACGGTGGTATAGAAGGAAATGCATCATCAGCCGGCTGAAAGTTCAGTTTCGTTTGTTGTGCAGCTTGTCTTAAACTTGCTTTTCTAGATGGACATGAGTTTCGGTGCCGCCACAAGCTAGTTGTTTGCTTTGATTTACCCCTCGATAGCTTTTTATTGCAGTAACGGCAAATGGCATAGTAATTGCCATTTTCTTCAAATTCGTTGAAGTCCTCCCAAGCTTCAGAAGTTTTATTCCGTTTTGGAATATGGAATTCATCATCTTCATCTAATTTATCATTTTCTCCTTCTTCATTGTTATCGTCAATAACCACAGCTTCTTGTCCTTCTTGTATATTACCAAAGGAGTACTTTGTGTAATTGGATTAGTCATCATGTTTCCTGGATTCATCGTTGACTCATTGGAGACAAATATTGGGTTGTCCAATATCAATGGAGTACATGAATCAGCATTGGAAACCAGTGGGATACAAGAAATCTCGGGTTGACTGCCCTTGTCTTGGGTTGACATCAGTCCATAAACACATGCAGTCCAAGGCTCCAAGCTAAAGAAAGACAACAAATTTTCAAATCAGGGCAAGGAAATTTTCAAGCTAAAGAAAGACACATCCATTAACGGAGGCTTTCACCATGAATTTCAGAGACTTTTAAGGTGTAAACAAAACTATTTAAAAAAAAAACTTGCTCTGATAATTATTTAGAGAAGTTTTAGGCATATGAATTAAATAAAGAATACATTTTTTGAGGTTCTGCTGATAATTCTTTTCAGTAATGAAAAGATTAAACCTGCTACATTTCATTAATCACACTTTGATCATCAACAAATGTATAAATCTGTATTAATCACAGTAATCAGATGCTATGATATACTCTTCCTACATTTTTTTCAAAGGCTTAAAATAAAAACAACTTTCAACTGTCTCAAATATCTTTTGACTTACGCTAAAGGGAAAAGAAATTTCATACTTGTGTTGCTTCATCCCTGCTTTTTATCATACTTGGCAAATCCATACATACCTACCCTTATACTTGTGTTGCTTCATCCCTAACTTTATACTTTTGTTAGCTAGGACCAACTAAACCAATTATAGCAAGTTCAAATATTGTTCTAGATATGCTAACATGGAGGTCAGATGACACGTACTGAAGAAAAACTTTAGGAGTTCCATTCTTAGAAACATGAACAATATGAAATCAGCAATGCTCATTAATCAATATGGTTGTTTCTTAGCTTTTGCTGAGTATCATGCTGTTGACGTGCCTTGGCAGCATTCAGACCTTTGCCAACACGCTCAAGAGAAAACAAGTGATTCCTCTAGCAAAAAAAAAAAAAAACCTTGCTCGTATCCAATTTATGAGAAATTGCACAAAAAGACAGAAATAATAAATCAATCTTTAACCCAAAATTCTCTCTTTGAAGACTCTTCACTAAACAGCCAGGGTGGCAGAGATTCAAGAGAAGGAGAAGAAAAAATAAAAGGTCGGAGAAGACGAGGAGGCTTTCATATCAGATGCACGGGTTGTGGTGACCAAATCTAAATACAATAACCAACAATTTCAGCAACAAGCTTAAAATACAAATTTTCCTCACGTTTTCCTTACCAGTATGCTTAAATGCTTAATACATAATACAACCAAATTCTTACCCGCATGCTTAATACATAAATTCAAAAAGGAGAAGGAGATTCTGAACTTACAGGCGGATTCAAAAGCTACCGGCGATGGATAAGTAAATCAATAGCTGCTCTGGGAAGCTTCAACGAGCTAGCAACAGAGACACGACTTGGGAGTTGGAAAGAGGAAGAAAGGCTCGATGGGAAATGGGAAATGGGAAGTGGGAACTGGCTAGAAAGGCTAGAAAGGCTGAAACTGAAAGGCTGAAAGGCTAGAAAGGCTAGCGATGGGAAGTCTGGGCGGAAGTAGGAACTTTCTTTTTTTTTTTTTTGAGCAAAACTCTCAGATATATATATGTGTATATAAATATAGAAAATCCACTATCCAATATTTACATGATACGCAAGGGCAAGGTATAACTTCAATCATTCCACAGCCTTCCCTTCCAAGAGACTCGAAAAGTCAGGAAATAGCAACAAAAGAAGGGATACTACGAGATTACAGCAGTCAAATAACAGAGGCTTTTTGGCACAATTTTAGCCGCTGAGTCTGAACCTTGTCTTCATTCCCATGTAACTGATATCATGGAGTTAGCAAGCCCTGATGCCTCGAATGTTAAATCTATGTTGTAGTCCAAGGACTTGGACCCAGGGATAGCTTGTGTCAAGCGAAATGGCCTTGTCTTGGCTTCCTCCAACTAAGAACAGCAGAATGACCACAGCAACTGAATTGGGAAGTAGGAACTTGACTATTCTTTTTAGTATAATTATCATTTCACCCATAATTATTCCTCAGAATTTATTTACTAATATTAGTAATTTTATATATAATTTTTTTTTAAAATTTTTTATACGATACTCAATAAAGCTCGTCGAGCTTTCGAGTATCAAATTTATGGGCTCGAGCTCGACTCGATAGCTCTATCAAGCAGCTCGAGATCGAGCTCGATTAAGCTCGAGCTTTTGGCCGAGCACATATCGAGCTCGAGTCGAGCTCCTCGACTCAGCTCCACCCCTACCCGTGTCCGGTACATTATTTCTTTGTGCGTCCCCACAGAGCACATGGCCTCCTTGCATTGCTTCTGCCTACTGTGGGCAGAAAGTGAACTTTCCACCGTAGACGTAACCACCCACGTCCAGATGTAACATGTTTAGGAATGGAAAGAGTGCGCCGCCCTAGGGCTAGGCATGCAACTTATATTACACTTTTATATGGTTATTCCACTTCCAAATATATTACGCTCGATCGTTAATTTTGTTTTCTTCGAGCACTGACCAGCCCTCCCACACATTCAGGTGTTAGTGCAACTCAAATACTACAACCACGCGAGACCAACGGTCCAAGATCCATTACAAAGACCCAACTCCCGTCCCCTGCTGAAAAATATACACATTAAAAACCTCAACAGAACAGAGACCCACTTTTCAACATTAACACCTTTTTAAAGGTTTTACGGGAGCAAGAATTAAAGCACTAGATGACAAACAGAAACAAATAAAGACAAACGGAGGAGGAAATTACCATGATGACAACCTGCATAGGCTCTAGGATATCGAAATTCATTTCTTTATGTTACAAAATCGTACACCAATCAAGGCCTACAGCACCATTTCATGACCTGAGACCATGAAGTATTTGTCCTATAACGCATACATTACAACCTTCTTTGGGCTCATTCATTACACGCATCCAAAATTGCGACATTAATCAAGACATTTAATGCCTTTTGAAATTTGACAGTCAACAGATGCGAAAAGAAAAATACATAAAACAATGGCATCCATGTACTGACTCCCACAGTCTATTTTGAAGCATCACTTCTTTCGATGTCTGCTTCTGCTAACTTTCACAATCTTCCTACCAGACTTGTCTGCACCAACGCCGCCACTGCCAAGAGAAAAGCTTCCTCCAGCATTGAACTCCGCACTTCCTGATGCTTGGAAAGGAGAAGGGTTCTGCTGAGCCGCTTGACTCGGTTGCCCACCAAACTGAAATGGAGTAGTCTGTGACGCAACTGTTGATCCAAAAACAAAGCCACCAGGGGAAGGCGAAATAGCCTGTTGACCAAAAGCAGGAAGTGCTGGCATCGATGGAAGTGCTGGCATCGATGACTGCACAGGATCCTCAGCCATGCTGTCTTCTGTGTTCATCTGGTCATTATTTCCTGCGGGAGCTGTAAAGGCAGTAGTAGAGTTACCAAAAGTTGGTGCTGCGTTAAACACAGATGGCGAAGACGTGGTTGTAGAAGAGGCTGTATTGAAGGAGAAAGATCCATGTGAGGCACCAGTGGATGCCCCAAAAGCAATGGACGCAGAGCTACTACTACCAAAGGGAGATGAGCCCACTCCAAAGGAGAAACCAGTTGAAGGAGATGAACTGAATGTGGAACCAAAGGGGGAAGAAGACTTTGAAGCTTGCCAACTGGAACCAAAAATGCTAGCAGCAGCACTGCTAGAGCTAGCAGGATTACTTTCAGAAGAGGAAGAAAAATTGCTGACACCAAATATACTAGAGCCACCACCAGAACTGGAGCTAACCATGTTACTGCTACCAAAATTAAAGATGGGAGTAGCACCACTGCTAGAGCTAGTTGCATTTGCAGATGAAGAGGTAGCCAAAGAACTTGTACCAAAACTGAATGCAGCAGGCGCACCACCAACACCATTTGAGCTGATTGCATTGGTTATTGATGAAGAAGATGGAGCATTGATCCCCAAAGTAAAGATGCTAGAAGTTGCACCATTTCCTGCGCTGACTGACTTGGTCTCCGCGAGGAGGCTGAAGTGCTAAGACCATAACCAGTACCTGCGCCAAACATTGGGGTAGATGTTGTTGAAGAACTAGATAGAGTATTGCTGGAGGTAAAAGATGTAACTCCAGAAGTTCCAAGAACTGAAGGTGATGCAGAGGAACCAAACTGATTAGGCATGCCGGTGCTGGGAAAAGAACCCTGAGACTGGCTGTTAGCTATAGAAGATACAATTGTAGAAGTCAAGCCAAAAATGTTACTTCCAGTTGCTACCGAGGCAAAGGAAGAATTGCCAGAAAGTAAATCACTTGAGCTGCCAGAAATTGCTTCTTTTTCTGTTCTTATATTCATAACTGATGTTTCTGCACTAGACGCTGAAGTTGCTGAAGATAATGGTTCAGTAGAGTCCCCAAATTTGAAGATAGGCATCACCGGAGATGAAGGAACTGCAGTAGACAAAACAGGGCTACTACTTGAGGCAGCAGAGGTTGATGCTGTAGCGCACAACTTAGAGTACTAGGGGAAGAAATAAGACTGCAGGTACTATTGCTAAATTGACTTGCAAAGCAGTGGAAGCTGGAGCAGGTGGGAATGAGAAGGGAGAAGAGTTTATGGCCAAAGGCCCATTATTTGAACTCATTGGAACAATTGATGACATGCCTCCAGATGCTGTTAAGCTCAATGCAACAGAATGCGTATTAGCCATTCTCCCATTTGATATAGCAGCCTCAGGAGAATTAATGTCATTGGCTTTCCCAGACCCAAGAGTTCCAAAAGAAGCACTAGTCACACCAGTGCCAGTGGCAGCACCATCCGAACTGTAACAAGGACCACAATTTAAATATGCTCAAGAAACATAATTTGAAAGGGGAAACAATCCAGCTGAGAAAAAACTGCCCAGTGTGACAGAGGCTAGTCGTACACACTTTAAACAGAAATAGAGATCTAGCTTTTCTTAACACTTCAAACTGAGAATAGATAACTGTTATAATGACATGTTATTTGAATTTTACCTTCCATTAGCAGCTCCAATAAGAGAGCAACAATCATCTAATGTAATGTGCCAAGAAAAGATTTTCCTTGCATAAAATTTTTGTACTAGCACAAATATAAGAAACTGTTTACGCAGGGAGAGGGAAGACCGAGAAAACCAAATTTTAAAAAAAAAAGTTCAGGATAGCATGCCGCAAACTTGATTACCCAAAAAAAATTAAAAAAGAAAATCTAAACACATTAGAGTCTGCAATGCCCGAGTTTGTGCTAAACACATGGCCATCAGCTGGAACTTCTATCCTCTTCAAATTTTTTCCCTCCATATTTGACCATTTCAAATTAAAAAAAAAATGCACACACACATGGCATCAGGTTTGAATAGCATGAAGTTTCACTTGCACTTTAAACCAAAATATAGTCTTTACCGTGTGTAAAAAGCATTTCAGTTTTCAGTGCATTAACACACAAACTCCAAATGCACTTCTGAGTCAGTTAAAGTACTTGTGTAGCTTCACTTTTGCAGAGCAATTCAAAATCACAAGCAGAGACTGACCTAATTGAAATTTCTGCTTTTTGATTGGTCCAAGGGAATGCTTTTGGGCCTGAAATTTCAGCAACTAACAAGGAAGAACTCTGGAATGTTGTAACTTCGTGAATTCCTTGCTTTGGGTTCTCCAGTCCCAAGGGTGATGGAGTAACTAGCTGGGAAGTTGTTCCAGATGCAATTGAATTAGGTATGGTGACACCGTTTTTTCTTTACCAACATCCACAGCATTGCCAATTTCGAAGTCGCTTCTTTTACCAGATATAAGTTCTGGAGATGTCCTTATTTCAGGCAAAGCTGCAGCGTTCTCTGGTGCCAGTTTTTCAGCAGTAGATGAACTTTTATTTGTAGCAGATGTTTCTTGATTTTCTCTCCCTTCACGCAAAGGTTCAGATGCAGGTCTTAAGTTTATGTCATCCTCCAACTCCAGGGAATCCTGCAAGATACAATCCCATAATCAGGCGCAAAAGAATAAGAACTATATTTAAAGCCAACAATGATGTTGGGGATACAAAAGGTTGGCCATCAAGTAAAACAAAAACTTACTCAAGAAGCTATTCGTTTTCTATTTTATTTTTTCTGAAAAGACTGAAGATACTATTCATTCAACAAAGGTTACAACCAAACCAACCAACCTCATGAGCACTCATCATAAAAGCCCGTTTCTTTTGAGGACGGTGAACTACAGATTTTGCAACTGAATCAGATGTTTCAACAGTAGACAATACACCTTTTACTGAAGCTGTGATATGGCTGTTCTCTACAGGAGTTGGCAAGTCATGTTGAGAATCTAATTTTTCAGAGCCATTTACTTCTTTTCTCTCCTCCTTTGCAGAAGCAGGAACACAAAGTGAATTGCTCTGGGACCAATCCTCCAACTTATGGTTATCTTCATTGCCCTGCTGCAACCTTTAAGGAATCCGTATGCTCCAGGCTTTTAAGAGCCTGTCCACGAAGCATATCTGTTGTCAATCTAGCAGGTGTCTTCTCCCTTGCAGTAATGAGTTTGGACTCCGCAGATTTCTCTTTTGGGGTCATCTTCTCAAGATGTTCCAATATTCTTGCAGCCATCTCGCTGGACTTGGGAGGTACATGGACATAACTTGTCCTTGGAGTGCGATTAACATCATTTTCTCCAACACCTTTTGGACCTTCATGCTTCCAGTCATCCTTTGAAGGGAACTTCTGGTTCAGAGCTAAAGGATATTTAACTGCATCAGAAACACTTCCAAATCCATGAGCAGGGGGATGTTTATGAGATAACAAATTATGCTTTTGGCGGATTCTCCGCATCGGACCAACGGACCCAAGATCTTCGTCTAGTACAGAACTCCTTCGCTTGAGATCCTAAAATAAAGTTCCAACAAAAGAACAAAAGAATGAAGATTATACACAAGAATATCCAAGATGAACAGACACAACTAAGGACAGACATATATTAAGAACTACCAGTTTTCTAGATCCAAGGTCCCCATCAGGCTCCTTTAGGGATGATGCTGACAACAAAGGTCCTCCATAAGCATAATTCCTGGATCCACTTCCCTGTACAGTAACCAATAAAACCTATATATATATATATATGTGGAAGAACATTCAACAATTTTTGGTAGAAAGTCATTTTCAGTAAAAGCACCTTATCAAGAGCGTTGGGTGAACTCTTGAATATGGGGTACGAGCCATGTTATATATTGCAGATCTACCTCGAGATCTAGGAGTGGTAAAACCATTTTCTGGAACCTCAACATGAGCAATTGATTTTGTTGGCAATGAAATCATAGCAGATGTTGGAGTAAATGGTACATTCCTTCGCATGGCCACATCTTCCCTTACTGCACGACTGCGCAATCCCAGCATTGAAGGTGATACTTTTGAAACCTGATTGCCCATATAAGCTTTAGCAATCTCAGCAGGAGAAGCAATATCATCCTCAAGAACCTGGAGAAAAAATTTCTAACAAGTGTCACACGGTCATGACTACATGCAAAACATCACTATCTTCAGAGTACACATTATACCAAAGGCAAAAGAATTAGCAACTTGACTCTGCAGTCATAAAACAGTTAAAACTATAGTATTTGAGCAGGTAATCTTACCCTTCTACTGGTACCAGGAGCTGAATCAAGCCCATGAGATCTGTAACTTTTATTCCTTTTTTCTTCTGATGAAATTATTTGCTGATGCTGCCCTTCAAAATTTGCAACCATTTTTGAGGCATTTGTTCAGTTCCTCTAACACCATCCTCAACAGGTAAATCTACAGCTCTTGAATGCAACAGTTCTGTCAAATGATCAATTTCAGATCTGCAGAATAAAATTTCCACTTAGTAAAGCTGTGAGGAAGAAGTTGAGAATTGGAGTTTAAGTAACTAAATGATAATTAAAATGCATAACCAACTAAAAAAAGATTAAGTTAGAATATCATAACTAGACAAAAAAGAGTAGAATCCAAAGGCAAAAAGCTAATTATTTATAAATACCGTCAATGTCATCACAAGATACTAGCTAGGCTATCCTCACTATTTTCCCTTCATATATATATATAACTATAATTGCACCTTCATAAAACACAAGAAAGCATGTTCAGTGCTGACACAATAAGCTCTACAGAAAAAGCCAACCTGGTGAATGTTTTTTGCTTTAACAATTGCTCGAGCTCTGAGATACTACCACCATCAGTGCTGTGAGTAAAATTTTCACCATCACCAACAGGTGCTGCTCGTGCTTCAGCCTGTTTCAACTCAAGAAATCAGATACTAGTCAAGTTCTACAGATTGCAGTGCAATAAAAACCATAAAAGCAATATTATGCTGAATAAGGATTACCAAAGTGATAATAAGGCTTTCCATGTCACACTGAAATCTTCACATAGCATTATAAAAGCTCCATAAAAAGACAAAACCGAAGCATATGTCCTACCCATGCCTTAAAAATTATACTCTAGGAACTTCAGAAGACATATAAAACTGCATCTGATTCAATGAGTGAAAACAGATCAACGAGCTGAGACAGATTCCAAGAAAAAAAAGTAGATGAATGAAGGCCTCTGACCCAGGGATGGAGTGCAAAATATCAGTTGATGCCTTGGGGTGTCAGACTCACTTAATATACTCCAGGAATCAGACAAGAAGATAATTTTTTTTAAAGCCCCGTGTTGGGTGTCCCTTCATCTCATTCCTCAATCTTAGTCTTTCACAGGCAGTGGTAACTACCTCGGGCAAATACGAAAAGAAAGGAAGATCTCAATCGATCAGTTGAAGTTTTGGTACTTCTTCCCTTTGTTCTTTAATAGAAAGGATAACAGATATCATTAATCTTAACCATGACCAGCCTGCAGATTTATTGCTACAATACCTTCAAAATATATATAATTAATCCCTTTCAGCACACTTTAACGTGAGAGACTAAAGAGCTAGCAAAAGAAATACCTGACACCAAAAATTTCAGGTCACATCCTCATATCTTGCTTAGAATGTTTTTGTAGTGTGATGTGAAATAAGCGATAAAAGATAGAGAAAACTGTTAAAGTCTCAAATTTGGCAGGGCATATTTGAAATCAATGACTATGGAATGCGTGATGCAAAAATTAACATGACCAAAAACAAAAGATTGAAACATACTTTTAGACCAGCATCTGGATTCCTGTCACTTGAATCTTGGTTTGACTCTGTCAAAAAGACATGTAACGTTAGTTCTGATTAAACTCTATGCAGTTGAAACACCCAAAAGCATGAATTTTTCTCCCTATTCTTGGAATAAGTGCCATCACACATTGCCAATCTATGAAGAAAAAAGGGGTCGCATGACATCAAAAGCTAAAGAAGAGAACAATCCACTATACATGGAACGATATATATTCCCCAGCAGATCCATAATAAAAGTACTTTGCAATCATCTAGTTCTCATTCTTGAGCATTTTGTTGAGGACAAAGGGTTTCTCATATAAAGGCCAAAAACGTTTATGAAGCATTCAAAATCTTGACATAAGCACCTAATTGATGTAGCAGCAGTTGTCGAAAAAAGATACGACATCGAGACAAACAAATTCACTGTCTTATATAATAATCGATATGCATACCAGCTAAATGAACAGTAAACTAAAGGAATAACAGTCTGTTGTCACAAATATAAACTGATACACGTCACCAAAGTAGTCCCACTCACTATAGATGGTACCTTTGCAGGAGAGTAACAGGGAAAAGCAAAAGACTAGGGAAATCTAACATGCTAAATTCAAACAAAAACTAGTCCACATCACCATCAGTCGCCTGCACCTAGAGGAAAGTAACTTGTAGACCAACAGGGAAATCTAACACAACAATTCTAACTCCAACAGAGTCTAGAGGACCAGAGGCATACTGCTGTAAGTTAAGGGATAAAAGGCAATCTAATCCTACAATGACATGAAACAAAGTGTCGGCCTGTACTGTACAGGTTAAAGCTTCAACATTCCAACTTCCTAAAATCATAGACCCACCGTGTAGGGAAATTTAACAATCCAACGTTCCAAATTCGTATAAAAGTAGTAGATATGGGGAACAGGAAACAGGGAAATGTAGAAAGTCTCTTTAATCCTTTGGGTGGGGGGAATTGGACGCTTAAAATACTGCAGAACACGGATTTACAGCAAAAATTAACAACTAATTTTCTTGTATCTTCCCCAGCGATCCGTACGTTAAATTTAACACCCAACAAATGAAAATGAAACTTCTATATTGCACGAATATATATTAAAACAAAAAGCAGATAGAAACGAAAGTACATATCTTTCGGTCACACCAGCTGAAGCCTAGCTAGTTACTCACACAACAGCAGCAGAAACGGTACTCAAACCAATAGTCAAAAGCAAATTAACAGATACATTCAAAGTAAACATAAATAACATACGCGTCCGTTTACATATATACACGAAAAGATACCAAGAGAGTGGGCAAATGAACCTGGAAGCGGTGGAGGGGGAGGGAAGGGGGCGGGGGAAGGCGTTTGCGAAAAAGAGGCGCAAAGAACCGCTCAGCGCTAGCGGCGATGAGCTTCGAAGCAGGGTCCACCAGGAGTTTGGAGAGCCAGCTAGGGTTTCGGAGGGCGGTGGGAGGCCGATCGTACGGAGTCGTATGCGTCTTCCTAAAGGGACGCTTCCGGAACTTCCCTCCAACACCGTCGCCGCCGCCTTCGTAGGCGGAGGAGGGCGCGGCCGCTGATGCTCCTTCGCCTGAAGGCGCCATTAATTAGAAACCTCGCGTTTGAGTACGAACTGTAGAGAGAGAGAGAGAGAGACAGAGAGAGAGCGAGGAGATGGAAACACGCGTACGAGTACGAATTGCTGGGAGGGCGAGTGAAGAGAGAGGGAAAGTAGTGGCACCGAAATTAGGGTTTTATTTGAGACGCTCGCTCATTTCTCTTTTTTATTATATCATATATATATATATACATATATATATATATATATATATATATATATTAAGAAAGAAAATTGATTAAAATTTTATTGCGCGTGTCAGAGGTTATCAATCTCCGGTCCCGGGCATTCTATTTGACCGTTGCAATTGGCGCCCGGGTAAAGGGCCAATAATTAGCAATTTGCATGAAACATATCTTTCTCTTCGCTTTTTTTTTTATACTCATAGATTCGGGATTTTTACTTTTTTTAGTGTGTGATTCTTTTGATTCTTTTTTTCCAAAGGATAACTATTGTATAACCTAATATATCCTACACCAGAGAGAGAGGGGGCGAACCTAAAAAGGTCCAGAGGTAATTTAAAGAGGATTGAATCGTCATCGGATCAGACGGGTGCACTTGAATTTTTTGAAACCAAATCACTTTAACTGTGATATTTTGATGGGAGGTAATATTTGGTTCACACCCCACCAAGCCTCAATGGCTGGGTGGTGGCCACCAGACTTTGGGCTGGTGGTTAAGTGATTCTTTTGATTGATGGGCTCTTTTTTTCCTTGGCAAATAGCCTTCCTTTTTTCTTTAATTTAAATAGGACTAATGGCTAGTAGATGGAATTTGTTTAAATTAAATGAGTATTTTGTATCTAAGCAACAAGATACATATAAAATTCTCTCAGACAGATAGCGTGACAAGAAATGTGATGTTTTGGTGACAAATCACTTAGAAATTAGCGATTTTATTAAGAATAAATCTTATATATACTGACAGTGTATATATTAAAAACACATGTATAAAAATTATATTTTAAATTCAAATTTTACATAGTTGTCATTCATTAAAGGCTATAAGTATAGAAAAGATTAATCCTCTTGGGAAAAAACATTTTTTTATTCTTAGAATTAATTTACTAATAATTTCTTGAACTTAATAACTTTTGAAGCATCTTAATTACACGCGTTTAACTTTCTAGGGTAAATTTTTCACTATTTTGGGATCTATAAAATATGGTAAACATTTTAATATTGACCCATTTCATACTCAAATTGCATAAATTATCTTAAGAAAACCCCACAAGTAGAAAAAGCTTGAGCAACAAAATCCAAATGCATCCCAATCCGAATTCCACAACAAAATTTCTCATTAAACTATCTTAATAAATTAGTTTACGGCATTATTAATCAATTAAAATCTTGGTTATAATGTTACACTCTTATTTTCAAAATTCATATTGGGAAAATAATTTTAAGATATTATCTACATAATTTTTTTTTAGATCAATGACCTTTTTGCAATCATGATCAGGGAGTATATTTCCAAGCAAATAAACATGTTTACATGAAACATCAACAATCGTAACTCAACGGTGTCTGAATTATGTGATTTTTTTTATTGTAAGTTCTTAAAATCTAGTTTCATTATATTTCGCTAAAGACCTGAGTCCATTTGGATTGCTATTATTTGAAGCTTATTAGAAAAATATATTGTAACGAATCGATATATATGAGATAAAAAAATGATTCAAAAATATGTTCACAAAAAAAAACGTGTAATTTTTTTTTAGAGGAAAATAGCAATCCAAACTCGTAATTTGAATGTTTGCCTGCTCAACAACATTTGGCGCGATGGAAATAGTGGTATGATTGAATGGTGGTGTTCAAAGCCCATAATAAGTGTTAATAAATTGGACATGTCAAAATAGCGAAGAATGAAATAGGTCAAATATTAAATGTGTCAGTGCAAAATTGACGGACCAAAATATTTCTAGTAAGCAAAATAAGCATTACTCGCCTCAATATTAGTAAAACATGGAAAGCAGGAGAAGACCTATTTTGTAAGTATTATAGCCAGATCAAACATACCAAAAAATGAAAAAGGGAATAAGAAAATAGATAAACATAAATAGGCTAGCAATTAAGTTTTATCCAAACATATCATATAGGGGATTAAGTGCTTATCAAAACGTACAAGGGGTAGAGTACAACTCGTGTAATAGTTGAGTGGAGTTTAGTGCAACTTACCATATGTACATCCAAAAAATTTATGAGCAATTAACTATATGTGCATCTAAAAAAGTTATCAGCATTATTCCAGCAACTTATAAAGGGGCATTGATCTGTGGATGTTGAGCCGATGAATCGAGCTCCTCGCGAGCGGCTTGATTTGAGCTCTACTCGAGCTCGAGTTGGTCGAGTCAAAATCGAGCTCGAGTTCAAAACATTAAGTCCGGCTCGCGAGCTCGAATATATATATATATATATATATAAATATATTTTTTATTTTAATAGTAAATTACATAAATATTCTTAATATTTTTTATTATTATTAAGAAAAATATTATTTTATTTATTTTTTTAAAATAAAATAATTATTTTTATTTTTTTCGAGCTCGAGCTTAAAAATTGCCGACTCGTCGAGCTCGAACTCGAGTTCAAGTTCGATGAAATTAAGTCAAGACTCGACTCGATAAGGCCAAAACTCGACTCGACTCGGCTCGTTTGCAGCCCTACTCCTAAGTCCAAAGTCGCCTTTCATGCCAAAGAACAACAAACATTTCAACAAGTGATCTTTATGTGATAAATCCATCATACAAAAATTAGATTTATATTAGTGGTAAAGTTTATCCATGGATAGGTTGTTAGTTGTCGCTTTAAATAAAAACATAGAAAAGTAGGACTTATTTATGTAACAGGGCGGGGGAAGAAGACTTAAATCTAAAACTTCTAAAAGGTATCTTTATGTGATAAATTCATCATACAAAAATTAGATTTATATTAGCGGTAAAGTTTATCTACAATAGGTTATTAGTTGTCACTTAAAAAAAATTAGATAAGTAGGATTTATGAAAGGGGGAAGGGAGGATATTTGAATATAAGACTCTAAATTTTAGTCTCAACTTTAGCCATCCCATTTGAGTTGCGGTGTTTTTGGCAAAAAACACTTTTGAGGTATTTGCTGAATATTATCCCATAAAATAAAGAGTGAAACTTTTGATATTAAAAGCACTTTTAGTAAAAGCTAAAATTTGGTGCTTTTAGAATAGATTTTGTGTTTTAAAAAATAAAACACTAAATTTAATCATTTTATCCTATATTATAAACTAAATAAAGAGATATATACATTTAAGAAATTTAAAATTATACATTATTCAATACAATAAGTATTTATTAAACTATGTATCCAAAAAATATACTTAAAACTATTTAAACACTTAATAAGTGTTTTTATTAAAAACTCCATTAAATGAAATATTTTTCAATAAACTACCGCAACTCTCAAATGGGCCCTAAATATTAGTTGTTACTTGTTATTCTACTTATTTTTTAAATTTAAAAAAAGGATTTGGTGTGTTTCATTTTACTTTAAACCCAGTGCTTTTGCTAAAATAGTACTTTTGTGGCCAAAGCGCTTTTAATGTATTTGATGAATTTTTTTGAGTTTAGGAGTAGAATTTTTAGCCAATAAATTTAGGGGGAAAGGGAGGGACAAGGGGTGGTGAGGATAAGAGAGAGGAAGGAGAAAGGGAAGGGAGGGGGTGGTCGTAGTTATGAGTGGTAATGTTAATTTTAAAAAAGGACTCTAAAATTTTTTTTAATTTTAAAAGATACTCCATAATATATTCCAAAACTTCCTCCAAAAACATCTACGATTAAAGTTTTTCATATACACTGCTACAGTAAAATATTTTAAAAATACTTTAAAAAAACAACTAATTCAAACGAAGTTATAGATTCTCATCACCTCACCACTTAGGTATTTTTTTTCAAGGAATAAAGTACTTTTAACTGGATCAAAATATTCTTCTCACGTGTGATTTATTGGTAGCTTGTACAAAAGCCAACTTTATTGAAATTTATGCCCAAGCCTCAAAGGAATATGCGCGTACAGCCCGAGCGTGACACAGTTTATCCCCTTTCTCAAAAATGTTCCACTAACAATCTTTCGGAATCTTGCTCTAATTAGAGAGTTCAGGCAGTAGGGCCAATCTTTCAAAATAACAAATCCTCGCACCCTGCTAGTGCTAGGCCAGAGTGATATTGACATCTCATTTGTCCATCCTTTTCAAATTAAGCAGCCTACCACTCACGCTCTCAGATGGGCTTAATAGCTCAGACATTGCATAGAGGAAAATCAAAGCCATCGACCTAAATTGTGAAATTATCCAGACAGCAACGATGATGCCTAGCATACTGATTCATTCATCAAAATTGGAAAGAAAAAGTAAGCTCGCCAATAGGCCCCAACAAGATAGCTCGAGCAATCCACTTCTTAGGGTACGGCGACCTTCCTGACTTGTCCAGAGTTCGAGTCCTGTTGTTAACGTGCTCGGTGTGGCGTGAGGCCTTCTCTCCCAAGCCGCAGGGGATTAGTCGGATCCCGTAAGAATTGACCCGGACACCCCTGTGTTGATAAAAAAAAAAAAAAAAAAAGTAAACTCGCCAACAGCGGAAGTTGACCCTTCTTTTTTTTTTTTTTTTTTTTTCTGGGCCTTCATACAATATGCAATTATCCACCACAAAAACAGGTTGAAGCTGTGAACTGTGGAAGCTTAGACAAAAGGGCTAGGAGTGAGCAAGGTTGTTGCTTCTCTAGCACCATGATTTCTGCTGTACACTCTAATGACGAGAGATGAAGATTGTTCTAACTGAAAAAGTATAGGAAAAAAGAATAAATGGATAAAAACCCTCTCTCTTAGACTCAAGTGCTAAAGTTTTAGTGCTTCCCTAAAATTAATACTGAAGCTATTCTCTAGGCTCTTCTTGCCACCTCCAACAACTGGATTTCCTCTCTGCATCATGGCAACGAACTCATTGTAATCAATACGTCCATCCTGCATGAATAAGAAATAATTAGGCCCTCTTCAAATGTTACAAAACCGAGTAGCATGGTGCTTGCTTACAACCATCATCACCAAATTGTCTGTCCAATTTTATTACTGTGCCTAAAATGATGAGGGCTGTCTTCCTCATCTTTTCATTCCACCAC